ACTGACACCTCTTCGTTTTGCACGTGGCACGTGCATTAGGGGTCACCCATACGTATCGAGGGTAGCACACTACGTGTGAGAAAGGAAGAAGCTATCCCACGCAAAAGACCGCAAGTGAATCGGTCAAGCGGTTGTGGAGATATAAGCTTTGCAAAGGCGCCCCCAGGGCGGCCGACTGCCAATAATTAGCAATAATCAGCGTCGCGTCCGCACATGGGAGGTGTCCCCTTCACCTGTTCGTATACTCTAATGTGGTTGGGTTCAAGTCACAGTCGAGCCCTGATTTTTTACAGCTTTTCTTAAAAACGGCACATCGTGCAGTGACGTCCTATGCATCAGTGGAAAGAGCATCAAAAGTTGTATATTATATTAACTTTTCACCTATATATCTTACTAAAGATAAAAGTTATAGAGGAATAAAGACGCTCCCATTGACTTTCCATGTTAAAAATTTTCATTTTCCAACGAACTTTATTAGAAAAAACGATTTCTGCCAGCTTAACGAAGCATACCAGCATGTACTACGCTCTTTCCTGTACAAGCTATAAGAGTTTGGGCAAATTCTATCTCTAAAATTTTGTACAATGAACGAATGAAAATGTCTCTGCAAAGTCTCGGCATCGCCGTCCATTGACTTAACATGGGACACAGCAAAATTCCAACTTTGATCTCGTGCAAAGACACGTTCCGAGATTCTGAGGGGTATACAGCGCACACTGGCGTGTACCCAAACGTGTTTGCCATAAAATGCTGGGAGAACTGACACCTCTTCGTTTTGCACGTGGCACGTGCATTAGGGGTCACCCATACGCATCGAGAATAGCACACTACGTGTAAGAAAGGAAGAAGCTATCCCACACAAAAGACCGCAAGTGAATCGGTCAAGCGGTTGTGGAGATATAAGCTTTGCAAAGGCGCCCCCAGGGCGACCGACTGCCAATAATTAGCAATAATCAGCGTCGCGTCCGCACATGGGAGGTGTCCCCTTCACCTGTTCGTATACTCTAATGTGGTTGGGTTCAAGTCACAGTCGAGCCCTGATTTTTTACAGCTTTTCTTAAAAACGGCACACCGTGCAGTGACGTTCTATACATCAGTGGAAAGAGCATCAAAAGTTGTATATTATATTAACTTTTCACCTATATATATATTACTAACGATAAAAGTTATAGAGGAATAAAGACGCACCCATTGACTTTCCATGTTAAAAATTTTCATTTTCAAACGAACTTTATTAGAAAAAACGATTTCTGCCAGCTTAACGAAGCATACCAGCATGTACTATGCTCCTTTCTCTACAAGATATAAGAGTTTGGGCGAAATCTATCTCTAAAATTTTGTAAAAAGATCGAATGAAAATGTCTCTGCAAAGTCTCGACATCGCCGTCCATTGACTTAACATGGGACACAGCAAAATTCCAACTTTGACCTCGTGCAAAGACACGTTCCGAGATTCTGAGGGGTATACAGCGCACACTGACGTGTACCCAAACGTGTTTGCTATAAAATGCTGGGAAGAAAACCACCTCTTCCTTGGCTCGTTTTTCCGCTATTGGCGATCGCGCAAAAAGTGTCCAAAACCCCGTTCACTTAACATGGGGAAAATGGAATCGCACGTGCCACGCGCAAACGAATTCTTAGCGAGTAGTGACCGGTGCCATCAGGTAGATCGCCTCCGGGAGCCCATACCCTGAAATTTTTACGAAGATTGAGCGATTCGTTTAGGCCAGACTCAAGATGTCTCGATTCGCTGCCAGACTTGCAAAACATAGCCCGGAGAACGACCGCTCCGGTTGTTTTTCAATAGAAAAACACAATTCTAACGAATAGTGTTTGTCTTTTCAAACAACCTGCGGTTATCTCCGAAATTACTGGACGGATCCGCAAAATTCAAACGGCGTTCGAAAGGCCTGTCAAATTTGTCGAGGGAAACCAAATTTTATTGACCTTGGGGTCACTGATGACGTCACAGGTCAGGTCAAAGATGAAATGTTTCACCGTTCACGGGTCTTCTAGGGAATGCGCTATAACACCGAGGAAAACGCATTTTGTCGGGAATCAGCGATAGGGCGTCAGTTGCCTAGTAGATATGTTGCTGTTAGAGGTCACTGGTCATACCAGGTCAGGTCACAGGTCAGGTCACCAAAGGTCACCAAGGGTCACCACATGAACCCAACTTTACTAAGGTTATGCGATGCATGTTTTATGGCCAGTTTTTCATTTCCAACTCAATGGTGTTGGTTATAAGACCAACAGGTACGGTTTAGGTCACTTTCTGGTGGAGGTCAGGTCAAGGTCAGGTCAAAAAAGGTCAAATTTCAAAGTTGATATTTTTGCATAACATGGGTATTGATTCGATGCAGCTCGTCACGGGGAGTCTAATGGTGGTCTTTGTTTTGCGCTACGAGGTCTAGAATTGCTGAAAATTGAGTTTGAAATTTGACGTCATCAATTTTGAACAGTTTTTTCGCTATAACTTGGCCAAAAAAAGAGGTATCGATCTCAAATTTGGTATGTAGATAGAAGGCGGTAAGGACTATCACATATATTCCGGTTTTTTCGAAATTCAAAAAACTTTTTGGATTTTTTTGGATATTATATTCAAAAAATCTATTTTTTGATTTTTGGGGGTCAAAATCCAAACATTTCAAAAATCCGAGATGGCAGTTTTGTAGCCCTGTCTATTCTACAGCTTTTATGTCTGTATCATTTTTCTGTATTTGCAAAGCTATAGGCCTGACAGCTCTTCCCGCGAAACCCTTTTTTGGGTCGAAAACGGCAGAACATGACGTCACTCTGACGTCATTTCCGGCCAACCTATCATAGCCTTTGGAAAAATTTTTGGTCACAATGTGTAAAATTGATGTCCGGGAGGGTACTAAAAGTTTGGTGACGATCGGCGCAGTGGTTCTGGAGATATATCGAAAAGTCTGGAGGGGGGGCAAAAAATAGCCCCCCCCCACCAGGTCGCGGGTTAACACGGGAATTTTCAAAGTCACGTGGCACGTGCACCAGATGGTCCGCGGAGGGGAGACCCATACCAGAACGTAGATCACCTGGCCCACTAGAAATCCTGAAAAAATCAGAATTTTTGGAGCAGCCGTTTTCAAGAGCATCAAGTTGTACTGATCTCAGGCAGCTTTTGCCAAATTGTCAGGGAACTCAGATTTGTTTTTCAATAGAAAAACACAATTCTAAAGAATAGTGTTTTAACTATTGACAACAAACCTTCGGTTACTGCCATTTCCGAAGCACTTCAGACCAACGAGCGACTGTATCAATGCGGCTAATCTCGGGCATTTGTTGCGAGCTGTGCTGGTCAGTGAAAGAAGCTGGCCGTCTTGCCCTACCCATGTGACCGTCTTACCCCATGGGGTGGGGTAAGACGGGTTTTTGCAAGGTTTTGCAAAAATAGCTGCAGTTTATTTGTTGAATCAGGTCTAAATCTCATCTTCTGGCAAATGGAAGTAAAATGTCTAAAAAGGTTTTCGCTCAGTTTTCCCGTTTCTATGATGTTTCTAACCGGCCGAAAAATTGCTTCAAAGTTAACCCGCGCCCCGCTGGGCTATTCAGACATACGCGTTTTGCTGGGGGAGGGGGGGGGCAGATTCTGCCCCCCCCCCTGTCTAACTTCCGAACCGATGGTCGTAGAAGGACGGGGGAAAACGGCAATCGAAAGCTCTCAACAAGGCGGATCTAAAGAGCCCAATTTTTTTGACTAAGTAGGTCAGAGGTCAGGTCAAGGTCAGGTCAAGTGTACAAGATGCAAGTTTCTACAGTATCGGCCTTGCACCGTAGTTACCGAAGAATGGACTGAGTCTGATTGCCCAAAACGTGTTCTTAGACTACCAAGACAATATTCGTTGCATACAATGTCATTCAAAGGTCAAGGTCAAGGTCAGGTCAGGTCAGGTCAGGTCACCAAAAACAAATATAGAAAAAGGCATGTGCGACACATGTTTTATGGGTCATTTTACTCATAGAATTCAATAGGCGCACTCAATAAGTGATATGGACCACCTATGGATGAACTTGGGGTCGAGGTCAGGTCAAGGTCAAGTCAAGTGAGGTCAAATTTTGAAGTTGGCTGTTAAGGCCTAAAAAGGTGTCTATCTGATGCAGTTTTTCACGGCGAATCGAATGGTGCTATTTTTGTTTCCGTACGAGGTCTAGAACTTCCAAGAAAATCATTTTCAAAAAATTTTGTGTGTCGTGACGTCATAAAATTTTGAATAACTCCCACATTTTGAACCGATTCTTCTCAAAATTGGTATGTATGTGCACATACACCACTTCTCTGATATATATTCCGTTTTTTCGATACACTTAAAATTTTGGATTTTATAATTATTTTCCCAAAAAAGTCAGTTTTTAGAAAGAAAAAAATCGGGGGAAAATCCAAAAATTTTAAAAAACCGAGATAGCCCTTTGATAGACAAAGTAGAATCACGTATAACCTTTTTTGTTACGTCTTGATTCCTTTAAAAATGAAGATGTTAGCGGCGTTTGAAATTTTGCCGTTTTTGAGGCAAAAATGGCGAACATGACGTCACTAAAACGTCAATTTCTCAAAAAGTTTCCGACGCATTTCGCTCAACTTTGCAGGGAACGTGCAAATTGATGTATAATAAGGTATTGAAAGTTTGACGTCGCTGGCGTAACGCGTTTAGAAGTTATTTGCGAAAAACGGGAGGGGGGCAGATTCTGCCCCCCAGCGGGGCGCGGGTTAAGGTGCCCGTCGTACCCCACTTTCCCCTAGGTACATATATACTCGAAGATACCACGTATGTATATTGGTATAAATTTATATGTTTATGTATTACAGACATGTACATTGTACTTCATACAACTGTAAGCATTGCAAGTTGCAACCCATCCCCTAATATCATACACATGCAACGTTGTGTTTTGTTGACCAAATCTGATCGGCTCGTCCATTTGCCGTCTTCGCTGACCATTTGCATATACCGGCATTACATGTGTGATCTGTGGTATCTCACCTCTGACATTGAGGCGCCTGAGACCCTTTGGCAGCTGCCCCCTCAGTCGCGGGAGGTCGGCGGCGGTGACTGACAGCCGCTTCACAGTCTTCCGTGAGCTCTGCAGCTCCGTCAGCTCGCTCTCACCGACTCCGGCCGGAAGGATGACAGTGTTTGGGTCCACCCTGATGATGGCACCACGAAGTTGACTTGGGATAGTAGTTATTTGTGCTGGAAAGGTGATCGAGCCAATGTCAGGCATTGGTCTAGCTCAAACATAAGTGTTCACTTACCTACAGGCTACAGGTATAGCAAACACAGAATGAAAACAGTTTGTGGCTACAATGCTGTGATAATTCCGTGTCTCAATGAATATGTTCTTTATCAAAACGATGTGGATTTCATAAATTACGGTGACTTTCCGTAACAGAATAGTCAACGAATAAAATGACAATGGGTCTTTGACATATAGGTAAAACAAAAATCACAATTAAATTAGTACATTATAATTCGAACTAGGCATATTCTCATAATGTCAATTAATCAATCTGACAGCTTTTGTAACCTTTTCACATAGGTATTTTGTTCAGCTCTTAGGTGTAGGTACCTGTTTCAACTTTGTATCGTTATAAATTTCGTAGCGTAAATATTACGACCAATACAGGCCCAAATCATTGACCAGCACCATTCACCACACGACTTGTCATCCTACGGCTTACCATGGCTTATGGCTTCCGTCTTACCTTAGGATGAGGCAGCATTACCTACAGTACATGTAATATGTGTTGTATCCATAACAGTGTTCTAAAATTGAATTTTGGTTGGGTGTGCTGATGAAGAAAAAAATCCTAGGATGAGAAAAAAGAAAGTAAATAACTGAAGTATTTTTTGCAAAAAGGTGTAATGCTAATTTTTATCCCAACTGATAAACCAGGATTTCATGTCGGGATCTTGACAGGGTGTGAAACAAAAGGATGTGGATGCTTCAACTGTCAAGTGACATGTAAACTGGCTGTTCGATTGCATGGAACCTTTTTCAGAGATGAAGTAAAGTCAGTCATTCATATTTTAGGGATGAAAATATTTTCCCCATCAGGTGTGATTTGCCACCAAAAAGTCTAAAAAATGGAACATTGATCCATAATCCCGTTATTCTTGGTTTGATTTAGGCTTCAGAGTGTCGAGGATAAACTGCTTCTCCACGTTATTTATGAACATTTGCTAGAAAAAAAATAGGCAGTTCCTTAGAGCAAAAATCACAAATAAGGAGCAGTATTGCCGGCCTGTTTCTCCGTTCTTCGTGTCCCCGTGTCGCCCCTGCCGCGTTCAGGAGCGCCCGGCAGCGCCATCTCCACCTGACCAGTCCGACAGCGTTTGGGTTCGCCGCGCACCGCCGACAATCAGCTGACGCGGCCGGCAGCGTGTCTCAAGGTCAATGGAGGTCAGCCGGGCCGCGGCCCGCCGGGTTGGCCGTGACGTCACAGCCAGCGAGCGCCGAGCGCCGAAACACCCACTGTAGTTAATCACCTCCTAACCATGAATGTATAAATAACTTCCACCGCTGCTCACCATCTGTGTCTAGTAGCGTAATCCGAGACCCCAGCTCCGTGGCCAAGTGGCTGATGGTGTCGGCAGCCACCCCCTGGAGAGATACCGACAGACCACTCCCGTACCGTCCCGGCCACCTCGGCTTCGTCACCTCCGGCCCTGTCGGACAGAGCTGTGTCAGCTGACAGCAGTCGGACGGAGCCGCTGCCGGGTCGGGAGGCGGCTGACACTGTAGTGTCAAACCCTGACACAGACGACACTGACAAAGCCCGGGTCGATCGGCACTGTTGGACAGTAATTGAACATTGTGCACAATGCATGCACTACGCTTATACATGCGTCAGTTAATTAATACAGTTCAGTACATACAGGTCGTACAGGTTCAGTACATACAGGTCATATTCGTTTGCAAGAGTATAAAGTAGGTATGTACAATACAGTGGCTAATGTTTGTGTAGCAGGTAGGTAGCATGGCACACATATGTCTGCTGAACTTTTATCACTGAAACTGTTACTTTATGTGAGCTATGTAAGTACCACCATTCAGAAATAATAGTACGCGTTTCCTCAACTATTTCTCACCGGCAACGTATAGCGTCCTCAGTGACGTCGGCAGCAGCCGCAGCCACCGCCCCGTTCCGAAGGACGGGACCCTGACGGTCAGCTCCTCCAAGCGGGGAAGACTCTGCAGGAGCGCCGTCAGCTGATCCTCTCCAAGGGCTGACGGAGCGTCGAACGTCGTCACGGTCCTTAGCGCCTCTCTCAGCACTGTGGCATCACTGTGTGCCGATGGCTGGGGCTCCGTCTGTACCGTGACGTCACTGTCTGCCAATGGCCGGGGCTCCATCTGCACCGTGAGGTCATGAAACGCTTTTGTTATTTTACTGAAAAGACAAGAAAAAGTACATACATCAAAATGCAAAAGAAGTTTACAACTTAAGTTGGCTCCTTTGATGATCCGATATGCATTTACATATTGTCGTCAGCAATAGTAGGTATGTTATCAAATCTATTCGGTTGTACATATAAAATCGTTCAGAGTTGATTTCATACGAATCTGAAGGATTTGATACGACCGACTAGATTTTGTGACACGAATTCTGATGAAGACATGTAAATACCAGCGGGATATGATGCCCCGAACTGGCCAACTGTATACACTGGCTGTCGAAAACTGGAACAAAACGATCGAGACTAAACGGCTAACTTGCAGAAGATGGTACGAATTTAAGGCATGCGCCAGCCCGCGCCCGCTGTGCGCTGGTCTAGCCACCTGGTGGTAACATGTGTCACTAGTGTTAGGGTGACCTGCCGAGAGCGTGAGCGCCTCGAGTGACCGCCGGCTGAGCCGGCATTGTGTGTGTTGGCGCCGTGCTGTGCGCATCCGTCTGCTCGTCCGGCCGCAATAGAGTGTCTCGCTGAAGCTCGGGTGTCTGCTACTGGCGTGGTGGCAGCGCCTTTGCCCACCTCTCCTAGTGCCACGCAAGACATTGCTTCTCCTCTGCAAGGATCAGCGAGCTTTGCTCAATCTGCATCGCCAGCGCTCTACGCACAGGACTTGGAGCCAAGATGGCGGGCGTTCGTGCCCCAAAGCAGTGGTCACTGACAAAGGACGAGTGTATTACGTCATTCGAGAGTTGGCGCCAAAACCTGCTCTATACCCTGTCGCTCGATAATATTTTCGCAAAGTTTCTCGAGCAGGGAGTCGTGTGGCAAAAGAAGACGGCTGACTGTCCGACACGTGGCTTCTCCGACGACAGCTCGAACGTCCCCGCATCCAGCCGTCTCACCGCCGCTCAGAAGACAGTCCAGTTGTTGTTGTTGTTGTTGTTGTTGTTGTTGTTGTTGTTTGTTCCCTCCAGGTCGACCTCAGTCGACTGTAGCCTGACGGCTCTGCAGGGCCCTGCGCACTGCGGGCAGTGTCGCGACGGGTTCCGGCCGATTCGGTGGAGGTACTGGGCGGAGCCTGACCAGTGCCCCGCTCGCAACTGGTGCACATCCACCGCCTCTGCTCGACCCAGGTGTCTGACTGGTCCCGGCAGCTTCGCTCCCATGAGGCTGCGGTACCATCCGCGCGGCCAGTCGCTGACCCACTGGTCCCGCGCCGTCCTTGCCACCGCGCGGTACACCGTCATGGCGTCGACGGGGACTTCCTCTTGGTCCAGTGCTGAAGCTTGCTTCGCCAGCTCGTCCGCTCTCTCGTTCCCGGGCAGGCCGCAGTGGGAAGGTACCCGGTAGGTACACCTGCCGCGGGCCGACAGCTGTTGAAGCGCCGCCCAGATTTCTCCTCCTATGAGCGTTGTTTGGGTAGAGGGGCCACCCCGGAGTGCCGCCAGAGCTGACTGGGAGTCCGTGCATATCACGATCGGCTCAGGAGGGAGGGTTTGTCGGTCCAGCAGGAACTTCAGCGCTTCTCTGAGGGCTACCATTTCAGCACGGTAGCTGGAGCAGACGTTCCCCGCCGGCACCGTGAGTAGGTGCTGCTGGCCGTCCGGGTCCTCGATGAAAACGCCAGCGCCGCCGTTTGTGATGCCTCCCTCCACCGAGCCGTCGGACCAAACCCAAGTCGCGCACTGTGGCAGACTACCTAGGTGACAGGTCGTCTAGGTCGTTAGCCTCCTGGAGGAGCCGGCCATCAGACGCCTGGCGTCACGGTGGGAGGTGGGGGCCGTCAGGCCCGCCGCGCCCGGCCTGCAGCCGGAACACGGTCACCAAACGGGCTCCAACCGTGCCCTCTCCGAGAGGGACCTGGCAGCGGCCTCCCGCCGCGCCACCTGCCGCTTCGCACCTCTTCCAGACAGTCCAGCTCGAGCTCATGTTAGGGCAGATTGCCAATTTTTGCCCGATCATCGCTCGCAACTCCATTGTGAAAAACTCCACGTTACTGCAGCAGATCTGGTAGTAAATCCGGCTTCACTTTGGATTCCAGTCATCAGGCTCTCATTTGCTTGATTTCACTGCAATTCAGCTGCAACCTGACGAACGACCGGAGGATCTGTTCCAGCGTCTTATGGCGTTCGCCGAGGATAATTTGCTGAAGTCCGACCATGACGTCACTCATCACGGCCTCCTACCGTCGTCGGATGAGGACATGTCGCCATCTCTGGAGAACTTCATCGTCCTACATTGGCTCTCGCTACTGCATCCGCGCCTTCCGGCCCTCGTCAAGCATTGTTACGGCCTGGAGCTGCGAACCCGTACCCTGGCATCTCTGAAGCCGGAAATCAGGCAGTCTATCGACTCTCTTCTCGCTGAGCTGCAGTCTGGAGAACACGCGCAAGTTTTGCGTTCTGCAATCGCCAGGTTCCAGCAAGTTCGCCCCCGCAGTCAGCTGGCTGGATCCGCCTCTGCGGGCCGGCCAACGGCCGTGCCCGCCGGCGGTCGGCCTGCGCCCGCTGCCGGCCGCTCCGCCCCTGCGCTCGGCGGCGGCCGGTCCGGTCCGACTGACCTGTCTGGGAGTGAGCGCCGCGGCGGCCGCGGCCACCGTTCCGTGCGTACATGTGCACTCTGCGTGGCGGCCGGTCGTCCAGGTGCCGACTCGCACTTTTTGAGTCGCTGCCGCTTCTTGCCCATCGAGGATCGTCGCTTCATGGCTGGCGTACGTCTCATCGCCGGATGCGACGACCTCTGTGAGGACTTGGACTCTGAGGGTGCATCTCGCCTCTCACAGACGGACTTTGATAACCAGGTATGTGTTGTCTCTAGTGATGAGGTAGATGCGTGCTCAGAGCTGATATGGGCAGTTGCACTAAACCCGAGTCTTCATCTACTGGTGTGATTGACTACGGTCATGATTCAGCTGTCAATGAGGTCAATTAGTGTGTTCGTGACAATATCAATGATTCGTCCGATGTTCCCGCGCGTCGCATCCAGCCCGAGCCTTCGCCGTTTTTACCCGTGCACTGTGGGTCGGTCCCTCTCCGCCTGACTCTCGACTCGGGCGCGGAGATTAACTTGATTCGTGACACAGTAGCCGTTTTAGTCGGAGCCCCTATCTCAAAGACGACTCAGAATGCCTTTCAGGCTGATGGTCACTCTAAGCTCAACGTAATTGGAGAAACTACTCTGATATTGCATCGTGGCTCCCTTGAGATGACCCTTCAGGCTCAGGTGGTTCAGGACCTTGACGTCGAGGTCCTTGCCGGCACTCCCTTTATGTCCCGAAACGATGTGTCTGTGCGGCCCGCGGATGGCTCAGTATCCATCGGAGGTGACGTCATCTTCCGCTACCGTGCCCGTTCTCATGTCTCCAAACAGCCCTCTCCACGTCCTGCGAGCTGTTTGATCCGCTCTCCATCTAGGTCAGTAACTCTGTGGCCCGGTGACTTCATCGAGCTGGAGGCTGCTGACATAGACCGTGACGTCGCCGTGTCCGTCGAGCCGTGGGCCTCCTCTCCCGTCCAGGATCCTGGGTCCGGTCCATGGCCTAGTCCAGCTGTTACCGCTGTGGTTGACGGCAAAATTCGTGTGCCAAACAACACCGGCTCACCTCTTAGGCTGCAGAAAAACTCTCATTTCTGCAAAATATTTTCCGTATCGTCCCCACCCGTGATCTCTCCGGCGCCAGCTTGCTCTCCGGCACCTCCACAGTCTCCGCCGGGCTCCTCAGCCACGCTGGTGTCCATTGATCCTCCTGGACTGCTTTCGGACTCTGTAAGGGCCGCGTTTGCTGCTACTATCGCGCAGTATGACTCGGTGTTTGAACCTGTTTTCCCTGGCTACAACGGCGCTGTTGGAGACATTCACGGAACTGTGAACATCGGCGCGGTTCAGCCTCCTCAGCGCATAGGTCATTTGCCTCAGTATAACCGTCAGCGGCTGTCTGAACTTCAGTCGAAGTTCGACGAACTGGAGGCCCTCGGTGTCGTCAGAAAGCCTGAGGATGTTGGCGTGGCGGTGGAATATGTCCACCCCTCCTTTCTGGTAAAAAAAGCCTAGCGGCGGAAGTCGCCTCGTCACAGATTTCACCACTGTCGGTCGCTTTTGTAAGCCTCAGCCCTCGCTGCTCCCGGACGTTGAGTCCACCCTACGCATTATTGGTAGCTGGAAGTACATCATCGTGACCGACTTGACGAAGGCATACTTCCAGGTGCCCTTGGCACGCTCGAGTCTGAAGTACTGCGGGGTGGTTACACCATTCAAAGAGGTTCGTGTATACAGCCGCTGTGCCATGGGATTGCCTGGTTCGGAATCGGCTCTGGAGGAACTCATGAGCCGTATTCTCGGTGACCTGATCCAAGATGGCAAGGTCGCCAAAATCGCTGACGACCTCTTTTGTGGCGGTGCCACACCTGGGGAGGCGCTCGAGATGTGGCACCTGGTTCTACAGGCACTCGACCACTGTGACCTCCGTCTTTCTCCCTCAAAGACGGTCATCTGCCCTCGCTCCGTCACCATTCTCGGCTGGGTCTGGTCTGACGGTCAGCTTTCTGCCAGTCCGCACCGTGTTTCGACACTGACCTCCGCGGAACCCCCTCGCACGGTAAAGAACCTTCGTAGCTTTATCGGTGCTTACAAGGTTCTCAGCAGAGTCGTGAAGGGGACGGCACACTACATGTCTCCGCTGGACGCAGTTTGTGCCGGCCGCGAGTCATCTGAGGTGATCGTGTGGACAGACGAGCTGTTATCCACTTTCCAGCGGGCTCAGTCGGCCCTGCAGCATCACCGTGCCGTCGTTATACCGCGCCCTTCGGACGATCTCTGGATTGCCACTGACGGGTCCAGCAAACTTCACGGTATCGGTGCGACGCTGTATGTGACGCGGCAGGGGCGTATAACCATGCTAGCTGGCTTTTTCAGCGCACAGCTACGCAAACACCAGATCATCTGGCTTCCATGTGAAATCGAGGCTCTCGCTATCGCCACGGCGGTAAAGCACTTTGCA